TATTCAGGTGCCTACTCAGTGCCTTAAGGCTAGGAAAGTCTGGGTGTAAAGGAGTCAACTATGATTCAACACTAGCAAGGTAGGGTTGCTCTGGGTTTTCCCCTGGAACTGGAGAATTGCAATATTTAACTCTTGATGGAGTAGCCTTCCCCCGGGAAGAGTTGGTGTGAAATTTAAGGGTTGTCTTGGACTGATGGCTCCTGTTCAAAAATGAAGTGTCAGCTGTGGCTAGGATGGTTTTGTGTATATTCATCTTGTCTGCCAGTTGTACTCATTGGTGGACTGGGAGGCTCTGCACATGGTCACTTAATGCCTTAGTCAGTTACCAATTGGATTACTGCAATGCTCTCTACATTTAGCTGCCTTTGAAGACCATTCAAAACTTTCAACTGGTTGAGAATGAAATGGCTAACAGAGTTCAGGGCATCGTGCAGTTTGTCCATATTACACTGGTGATTTGCAAACTGCTGTAACTCCCCATTTTCTTCCAGGTGTAATTCAAGCTATTGGTTATCACCTTTGAAGACTTATAAAGTATGGGCCCAGTTTACTTACAGGACTGTCAACAAATTCCTGTCATCAAATATAGGGTGAGCACCCTCTCTGTTACATGATGTCATCTGGCAGGAGCTTGGAGGCTGGACTTCTCTGTAGCAACTGCTGCCCTATGAAACAGCCTCCCTGACATCTAGAACAGAGCTTTTCAACCTTTTCACCCATTGTACCATTTTTAGGATATGGCAACATCCGAGTACCACCAGTCACCTAGCAAGGTGTCAAAAACTTGATGACCCCCCCCCCCAAAAAGGAAAAAAGTGATAAAGTACAGGTAGTCTTTGACTTACAACAGTTCGCTTAGTGACTGTTCAAAGTTACAATGGCACTGAAAAAAGTGCCCCCCAAGCCACAGCCGAGCAAGACACCTGCCTCCCCGCTCTTCCTCCTGTCCGAGGTTTTCATTGTTGTAAGCATTTCTGTTTGGCAGGGGGTGTGGGGTGGGGGGTGTTTGGTTTTTATTCCCCCTGTCTGCTGGGCGGTTGCAGCAGGTTTTGGTCACTTCACATGACCCTGGGATATTGTGACCATCATAAATATGAATCAGTTGCCAAGCATCCGAATGTAAATTACAAGACCCTGGAGATGCTGCAACATTCCAGCTGACTGGCGCTTCTTCTGGGCTCAGCAGAAGCGCCAGGATCAGTGCTGAGCTCTGGCTGGAGCCTGGCACTGATCCTGGCACTTCCGCTGAGCCTTGATAGCCCTGCAGCTCCAGCCATCTCTTGCTCAGGCAGGTGCTGCCACTGGTTCAGCTCATTCCCCTCCCCCGCTACCACTTTTCTAGGATGGTTGTGTACCACCTGCCAGGTGCCAATGTACCACAGGTGGTACCCGTACCACTGGTTGAAAAGCCCTGATCTAGAAGTCCCCTATTGTCTTAGACTTCTGGAATGCTGAAGACCATTAAGACCTGGCTCTTCACCCAGGCATTGGGCTAGGATGGGAACTGAGTCCAGTTCATAAATATTTGGGGTAAGAGTGTTATGGTGACTTAGTTGTGCATGATGCTTTTAATTTTGTTATTTTTTGTTACTTTTATATGTTGTGAGCTGCCCAGAGTTATTCTATATCTTGAGCTAGTGTCTGGCATAATTACAATCTATCATATGTTGTGCCACAAAACCCAACTCTACCTGCATTTACATTTTTGTTCACCTTACTGAATAAATTCTATCATAGAAGATGTAAAATCTTAATAATGTAGGATCAGAAATAATTCAATTCTGAGTTAACAGGCTCAATGTTATAAAATTGAACAAGATGCCCTGTATAACAATGTTGTCCAAAAATTCTTTTATACCAAAGGATTTCCATGGTGATATATGCTGTTTTATAAACTTATATAAGGCTTGCATTTCCAAGAATACAAAAAATTAAGATTATAATGGAGAATATTTATAACTTATTCTCATATATTTTTTGTTTTCTAGGCAAATACAATCACATGTTTTTTTTAAAAAAAATCTTTTTCAGGTAGATAATTCAATTTTTTAATTGCATTTTTTTCACAATACCTAAATTTTTTGCAGTCTGTATTTATTTGAAGGTTTTTAACAGTAAAGAAATATAACTATTAGCTTCCTAGCTATTAGAGAAAAGTGAGAAATACTAGAATTTATTCCCGTGTGGAATACTTGATTGGCAATATTGGTTATATAGGCTGGTAGGCACTGAAAAAAAAATAAAAGCTTTGGATGTGTTTAGCATATTGATGAATTCCACTCTAATAAATCATCTACACAGAGTTCATTTATGTGTAAATTTGAATGAAATCTAACCCTTAATTTATTACACATGACTTATCATGTTCTGATACAGAACAAACATCATTTATCAGTACCTCATATTTCCATACTTTTGTTCTGGTGATCTTCTCTACAGTCTACTAGATAAAGTTGTTTTAAAGGTCAGTAAATTTCTTAGTGTAACTTGATTCAGGTATCTGCAACATCACCCCCATCTTTTACAACTGCTTATTCACTGAGGATTGTCCTTGCTGTTATTGCCTCCTTTTGGACAAATTGATTTTCATAAAAAGATCCAGGATTCAATCTTTAATATTTTTATACATCAATTGTATTATTCTACATTTGATGGCATTCTTCTCTGTACTTCTATCTTGGAGAATATATCTTTAAGGGCAGGTACAATAATTACAGTCTGTTGACAAAAATCTAACACAAAGACAAAAGGAATTAAACATACATAAAGAATGAGTTATTGCCTTATCCACATCTGCCAGCATTCTCAGGCCCAATATCTTCAATTCTCATTCTAGAGAGCAACATTTTTTTTTAATCACACTTTAGATACAGATTTATTCTCAGCGATTTCTTTTTCACAGACTTGGTCCTGACCTCTGATTTCTCCATCCGTTGCTCCACATTCACCATGTGCCTGTCTAGTTTCCCAACTTTTGATGAGAGGTTCTCTACCTTGCCTTCCAGTGAGAAAAATGTGTCTTCCATTGCCCCTGAATTACATGAAGTGACTTCATCAGCTTAAGGGGGGATCTGCTGTGCTGCACTGGAGGAGCCCATCGAAGTCATGAAGATAGACAAGATGATGACATCATCTAATGCCAGGGCAGAGAAACAGATGGACTAAGGACATTGTTCTTGTTGTTCAGGGCATAACTTGCTCTAATTTGCACTTGCAGATATGTTGGACAACTTGAATGACACTGCCATCCGAATGATAGTGATGAACTATCAAAGATAGCAGCTTGTCCGTGTTCTGTCTCCCACTTTTCTCATCCACTACATTCTTTATCTTGAGTATCGTTTGTGAAAATAAGCGCACCATAAATTTCACATTCAAGTCATTCTGTAACTTGTTAGCAACTTTCAGAAGTACTGAAGAGGAGAAAACATAACTGTTCATGGTGTGTGTTTATATGTAAATTAATCCAAATTACTATATTTTTTGTTCTAAAAAAATATTAGAATGCTAGTATAGGACTTCCTTTGTACTTTACATGAGGCAAGAAGGGGGGAAGAATGTTTGCATCCGTTACATTTTTCTAGCAAGAAGTAATTATAAGTGTGCATGCTTCTCACAATATTTACCTAATATTTACCTTTATAAGAATAGAAACTTCCCTTGCTTTTGCATACTGTAGCTCTGGACTCTTCCATTTTATTCATACTTGGTATGCAGTTCATTGCAAGAGCCAATTTTCTCCATAATTCTGCCTAATTTGGGCAGAATATAACAGCAAAAAGGATGTTTAATGGCTTTATGAAATATCTGTGAGAAATAATGACTATAAATAATACTATTAAAGGAAAACATTAAAACATTCTGACTTACTAGTATGCTTAAGTGGATGTGAATTACCTATGAAACTGCCATGTTTTTGTGATTCTATTTTAATAACATACTAGACGTATTTCTATTTTCATTAAAAACTTAAAAAAAACTCTTTGGATTAATATATGTATCATTTTAAAGAATATTTTTTAATTCAAAAGGGAAAAGAGTTCTTCTCATTTCAGGAAGAAAGTTTGTTATATCAAACTCTACAATATTTGTTATAATGATACAATCCTTTACATACCTGTTTAGAAATAGTTAAATGTTGTGAAACTTACACCAAATTTGTAAAATACTGCAGATTAATTCATATAACCAGATTTAAAATGTGTAGATTTATAAACACTTCCTTCTTAACAATAACTAAGATAGTAACAATTTGAGCCCTGCCACAGAAAAACAATTGTGGGAAATTAAAGAGGAAGCATGGTTAGAATGCAGTATTGCAGGCTAATTCTGCTGACTGCCAGCAGGTCAATTCTCACAGGCTCAACGTTGACTCAGCCTTCCATCCTTCTGAGGTCGGTAAAATGAGGACCCAGGTTGTTGGGGGCAACATGCTGACTTTGTAAACTGCTGAGAGAGAGCTGTAAAGCACTGTGAAGCGGTATATAAGTCTAATTGTATTGCTATTACTGGCCACAGAGTTAATTGACAGAATTTTGCTTGGGTGGAGTCAGCAGCAGCATGCAAAGGATTCCATATGCCTGGAATTCTCATAAGTAATAAATACATTTGTCTAATAGTATTTGCAAAGGCATTTGCTTTAAAGCATATCTTTTGAATTTCCTACAGTGAGACATACTAAGCTGTGCAAATACAGTACATTAAATATGAAGACTGGTATCAAAAACTATCCAACTGATCTGCATTCTGCAATGTGTATTTTATTAGGTATTGGTTTGTTGTATAGCCTGTAAATTTATTTGATTTGTTAATGGGAAGGGAGGGAGGGAGGGAGGAAGGAAAGAAGGAAGGAAGGAGTAGTTTTAAAGTACATTAAGATTATATCTTGTTGCATATTTCTACATATGCAAAATAGTTTTCTTAATTAACTTTTTATAATTACTGTAAATCAAATTCAATTTTAAAACAAATAATGACTTAATAACATTATTTTCAAATAGAAATTGATGATGCTGACTCAACAGATGATGATAATCAAGATTCTGCTGAATTGAATAAAAGTGATTTTGATATTTCCGTGTCATCAATGGCAGAAATTGCATCTTGCAGTTATGAAGCCAGGTAAGAGAAAATTATTTCTTGTCAGTTGGAGGTTGCAGAATACAGTCTTTCTCTTTAAATAGATAAAGCACATTTGTTTAGTTTGCTGTTTATTAAAGCATTTTTTAAATATTCCGACACATTTGTAGGAAGACCTGAGCTTTTGTTGTGCAAGAATCATAATTATTTCATTTTCATTAATTGATGATTTTTGAACCCCTACGCAATTATTTTTTATTTAGGCAAGCTGGTATAAAGAATGGAATGTTTTTTGGGCAAGCAAAACAGTTGTGCCCAAATCTTCAAGCTGTTCCCTATGACTTTCATGCATACAAAGAAGTTGCACAAACTATGTATGAAACATTGGCAAGGTAAATGTTTCATATTATACAAGTTGTTAAAATATTTATTTTAGACAAAGAATAACTCCCCAAAAACTTCTATTATGGAATTCTACTGATTGTTTTGTAATGAAATTTGATAAAATATTATGTGCTATCTATTTTATTATTGTACTTATGAATTTATTAAGCATCTCTTCAGCAATATACAAATATTCCATATTTTTCTACTATTGTTTTTTTTCTATAGCCTTGTTCCACAAAGGCCACTCAAGCATTTCTGAATAACAGCTATTCCAAGATCAGATTACTTTTTAATCTCAACGAAATAGAAATTATATTATAAATAATATTATTTTTAATCACAAATCAAATTAACATAGTTATTTTAAGACAGCTTAGTTAAAGCCCAGCTCCATTATTCTACTTTCCAACCTGGGATTTTACTGATGTCTGATTAAATATAATCAGATGTAAATATGTGAAATTTACATAAATAAAAAATAGTTGAAACAATTATACTGCTCAGGTTCAGGCTTTATATTTCACTTATAAAATGAAGTATGTAATATGGCTACTGCCACTTCACAGTTCAGCATCTCATATAGCTGGATGGGCAGCAAATAAATTTAATAAGTAGGTATCTATATTTTAAAATCTTTCCAGCTTATATAGTTTTAATAGATCATCTGCTTTAAAATATTTAAAAACTCGACAACTCAAAGGAGTTGTCAATAGCTAATTAATTTGAAAAACAAGATAGTCCTTGCTCTCTTGCTTCCAATACAAATAACACCAAAAAAGGGGGAATGGAAAAGGAGGAACAAAAAACTCAGGTACTACTTGGAAAGTAGCCTGGGGAATTGAGAGAGAAAACAGTTGCATAAAACTAATGTTAGAAAAGAAGATAATATTAGGCATATATTTTTCTGGTACACATTATCTTGTGTCTAAAATATCTAAAAGTATTAATTTTTTTCAAAAATTGGAAAACTATATGTTGGAATTTGACTGTAAAATCAATATTTAATATTAGTAAATATGCATAAATTTGAATAACTTAATTTTGTTCCTATTATTTCTGTTTAATTCTTTGACTTTGTTGATAGCTATACTCATAACATTGAAGCTGTCAGTTGTGATGAAGCACTAGTAGATACCACTGAAATCCTTGCAGAGACTGGGTTGACATCAGAGGAGCTAGCAAATGTTATTCGTGCAGAAATTAAAAACAAGACCAAATGTCCTGCTTCAATTGGAATAGGTTAGTATAATGCTTAGAAATATTTATTTATAAGTAAAATAGATTATTAAGTAAAAGCAATGTTTTATTTCCATAAAGTGTATCCATTAATCACAGTATTAAAATAATTTTATGATTAGATATTAGAAATATGTCTAGTTAATTTTTCTTGTTTTCTCTTTTCTTCATTTATATAAGATAATAAATAGAAGCAAATATATACTGCCTTAGAGGCTTTTATATATTACCAACTGCCTTCTTTCTTAGTATTTTTCACATATAAAGGGACACAGTGGAAATACTTGTAATATTTGTGGCATCTGACATTCATATATTTAGCTTAACAAGATTGTATATTTGTATGCCCATGAGTAATGTCAGTTAAAATGTACATGTGATCTTTAATCACATTCAGTTAAGCACATCATATTCCAAACAGCAGAGTTCCATTTCCTAATCCTTGCAAAGCATTTTGGGATCAGCCATGGAATTATCTTCACTTCTGACTTTTATACCCATGTTTTCCCAAAAGTAAGACCAGGTCTTCTTCTTCTTCTTCTTCTTATTATTATTTGGACCAAAAGACCCATTAGGGCTTATTTTCGGGGGATGATTTATTTTGCAGCCGCCCGCCCACTCCATCCCACCATCTGCTTGCTTGCGGTTGCAATGGCTTACAGAGCTTCCCAGGGCAGATGCTTGAGAGGCGAGGGCAGTGGCAGCGGAACATGCTTTCAGGCAAGAACAGTGTGGATAGGTAGGGGAAGCCGAATGACCAGGTAGGGTAAGCCATCCCTGCTGCCTCCCTCCACCTGCCACACCCTTTCCTTTTGCAAGCAGATGAAGCTTCCAGTCTCCCATCAGTTCTCCAGGTGAAAAGTATTTGGGCACCTATGGGGCACTTGGAAACGGAACAAATCACCATAGGCGTGCCCCACAGGCATCCAAACACTTTTCGCCTGGACAGAAAAATGTCAGAGACTGGAAACTTCATCTGCTTGCAAATGATGCGCTTGGGAACGGAACAAATCACTCTGTTTCCAAACTCCCCTTAGGTGCCCAAACACTCCTTCTTCTGTGCAGCAATCACTGATCCACACTCTCTTGCCACCTTGCATCACCCTGGAGAGGAAGGCCAAGCTCCCCTTCCCCGATGGTTCTGCAAAGCCCTTGAGGTTTTGCATGGAGGAGTGGATCCGCTTCCTGCAGGGCCAGCCTATGCTGGCACATGCCAAGGGGGCTGGACTCCCACATATCGGTACAATGAGTTTCTTACAAAAATCATAGCTACCGTATCCTCAGCTGGTCAGGAGGAAAACGTGTCTGCTCTGGATTTGAAGGCAGAAAAGCGAAGGGGGGGGGGCAATTTCAAAGGCCCTGGAGAAAAAGAGCAAAGCTCTTCTGTTTGCTGTCCAAAGCGGGTGCCGAGACAATCCACTCCTCCATGCAAAACCTTAAAAGCTTTGCAGAACCATCGGGGAAGGGGACCCTAGCCTTCCTCATCCAGCTCCAGCTGGCATAGTTTTCCAAGAGCTCAGCATCCTTCCATACGAAGGAGGAACACAACGCCAGGAGGAGAAGCGGCAGAAAACAGGGCTGCCATTTCCAGAACGGAGAAAGGAGATGCGGGGCGATGCAGGGCAGCAAGAAAGTGTGGGCCAGCAATCGCTGTGTGAAGGAAGGAAGGAAGGAAGGAAGGAAGGAAGGAAGGAAGGAAGGAAGGAAGGAAGGAAGGCTGACTTAAGGACATCGGGAGAGGTGAAGGAAGCTACTGTAAGCTGCCTTTCTTCCTTTCTCCCTTTCCTGGCTGGGAAGGAGGTAGCCCACAGTCTCCTGCTTCGTGCCAGCAGGTGCGACCTGGTTACAGAGGCTACTTCAGGGCCACTTGAGAAGTTTTGTTCCTGTTCCTTGGTTTCATCCACCACCCTGCAGCAATTTTCCGCCTCTGCCTCTCCCTCAGGCGGCTTACTCCACCCCCACCCCCCATTACTTTTAGCATTCAGGGAAGCCCGTGCCTTTACGTGTCCTTAAGTCGCTCTTTGGGCTCTATCCTAACCTTCGGAGACCATTTGCTGTAAAAACTTAGGTCAGCCCCACAGCAAAAGCCACCCCCAAGTTCTCCATTCTCTCCAGTGCTGGCGATGGAGGGCTGGCGGAGGGATACCAGGGTCACAGCACAAGCCGTGGGAGAGTTGGTGGAGAAGAAGGAGGCTGCTGGCCAGCAGGTGATCTGCAGGGTGAAGCAGGGGGACGGGACTAAAGAAAGCCCCTCCAGCAACAGATGTAGCTGTTGCGCAGCGGTGGTGGAGCCTTTTGCTGTCACTCCCCCCAGCTGGATAAGGGGAGGTCGTCGAGCGGGGAATGGCCTGGCTACAGAGCCCTGGGGTGCATGGGGCAGCTCCACCCCACCACTTGCCTCACTTCACCTTGCGGCGGCATCGGTGCAATGTGCTTTCTCCTGTCCCATTGTGGCAGCGAGCAACCAGATGGTGAGACGGAATGGGCGGACTCTTAATGAGGACTTATTTTGGAGGTAGGGCTTATATTAGGTGCATATACAAAAATCAGGCTACAGCTTATTTTTGGGATAAGTCTTATTTTGGGGAAAACACAGTACTAAGCAGAAAAGGTTTAGGGACTATCAAGAGCAAATTAATGCTCAGTCTAGCCAACAACGAGTAAGTCATCATTTAGTCAGTGCCTTGCAGCAACTACAACAAAAATACTCTTGCCATGTTCCCAACTGAAAGGAAATAAACTGTGACACCCTGGCCCACATGTTTTCAGATAAATACTCCTGTGTGTTTATCAGGCCATTTGTCTTGCAAAAAAATCCAAAATGTTGATCTGAGGAGAAAGTTCCAGTTGTTATGGTTCCATCATTCCAACACTTAGGTAGGTCAAGATTAGTACAAGTTCAATAATGAGATATTCAGTTTAATGCAAATTGTAAATGAATACCAGTTTGTGTTTAATACAAGCCTAAATTCAATTAATATGAGGCTACCTAAAATATGGATAAATCACTCTAAACTTCCAGCATATATATGAAGATTTCAAAAAAGAGAAAACAGTTCAGTCTATGCTGCTAAAATATTTTGAGAGGTAATAAAAATGTTTTTCAGTGTAAGACTGTTGGAATGATTATCATTAGGAATGATTGTTGGAACTGAAATAACATTCTATATAAGATGATAATAATCATGGTGGACCTGAACTATAATTCTACTTATGCTGATGAATAAAGCTGTCTTTCTTAATCTCCCTGTGGCTTATGACTGGGAGTTACATTATAAAGTATCCTTCCTTTCTTCTTGTGTAATAGAGGAAAAATATTAAATCTTCCAAATGGTGAAATACTGCTTAAAAGCAATATTGAACTTTTATAGGTTCAAATATTTTACTGGCCAGACTGGCAACTCGCCAAGCAAAACCTGATGGGCAGTATCATTTAAAGCCTGAAGAAGTAGATGACTTTATCAGGAGCCAGCTAATTATACATCTTCCAGGTAGTTTTTTTTCTACTATATTCCTTCTTAGTTTTCTTCAGAAGTATTTATCACAGTTACTTTAGCTCTACTTTACAAAGTAATGGGTTATTAACAAATCAGAAGTGCTATTTTCTTTATAGTGAAGATAAAGCAACATACTGTATATAGATAACATTATCCAAATTTTGAATAGCATTCGCCTCTCACTCAAAAGGTTGAGAGTTCAAATCTAGATAGCAGCAAATGTTTCTCTCCTAGGGCGCAAAGAAAAAATATCTGCTGCGAACTCCACATAGGCGTCAGGAAGGGCATCCAGCCAGTAAACACTCAGCTCCATCAGTTGCCCTCACTCTACCTTGAATTAAGGAATTACAGAATTGTAAAAAGAGATGGTTTTTTTATTCAAACTTTGAATAGCAATCTGATAAATTGCATGGCATAAATTCTGCATCCTGAGATTATGTTAATCCTCTGTATTTTTAATAAATATTCAAAACATCAAAATAATAGTTTTCTGCCAAAAGAAGTTGACAAAAATACACATTTAATTGATTATTTGCCATCAAGTCATATTTAACTCCTACCAACCACATGTATAGATTTTTCTCTGACAATCTATCCCTAACCTTTTCTTTTAAATCACCCAAGATCGCATGCATTGCTACTTTCCTGCAGATGATCCTCTTTTTCCTTTCTCCTTTCTCAGCATTAGATATTTTTGCAGTATTGGTTCTCTGCATAACATGTCCAAAATAGGATAATTTGAGCCTGGCATATGGCCAGTTATAAAAGTGATTTAGTTAATAGTTTATTCCTATTGTGAAGTGTAACAATGATTGTTAAATAAATTAATTTCTCTGGTGTAGAGTTCTAATACAAAGATATATTTTTATTTTGGGGTTCAGGAGTTGGAAGAACAATGGAATCTAAGCTATCATCTATGGGGCTAAAAACTTGTGGAGATTTACAGTGTATCACAATGTCAAAGCTTCAGAAAGAGTTTGGACCAAAAACTGGACAAATGCTGTATAGATTCTGCCGTGGTTTGGATGATAGGCCAATTCAGAGAGAGAAAACAAGAAAATCTGTTTCAGCTGAGATCAATTATGGTATAAGATTTTCGCAGGTAAAAAAATTAAATCAAATTTAAGTGAAATGTTTCCAAATGGTCCATAAGCTCACGTGTTACTGGGCTATAATTTCTTTGTTCTAATTCCTTATTAATACTAAAATGTGCTTTTATATGAATGAGTGATAATATAGATGAACTTTAGGTAAATGTGGCCTTCCAAATACTATAGAATTTGCTAAGCATTCATTAGAAGCTTTTTTAATTAGAAGTCAGTAGAACAGTTCCTATGCATGTCTACCCATTAGAATAGCATAGCGTAGCATAGCATAGCAATAGGAAGAATAGAATGGAATGGAATGGAAGAATAGAATAGAATAGAATAGAATAGAATAGAATAGAATAGAATTAGAATTAGAACACACAAGGAATTTGTCTCCGCTGCATAACCTCCCAGAGTTCATACAAACAACAAAGTAATAGAATCATAACAGAAGGTAATAGGAAAGATGAAAAGGATAATAGTAATATAGCCTACTACATGGGTAAATATCCTTAGACATAAGACAGTGCTATGAGAATTAGCTGTTCAGCAGAGTGATGGCATGAAGGGGAAAAACTCTCTCTAGTTGTTTTGGCATGCAATGTCTTGTAGCAGCATCCCAAGGGGAAAAGTTGAAACAGTTTATGTCCAGGATGTGAGGGGTCTGTACATATTTCTTCAGCCTTCTTTCTGGTTCATGCAATATGCAGGTCCGTAATGGAAGGCAGGCTGGTTGCAGTTTTTTTTCTGCAGTCCTAACTATTGAAGTCTGTACTTGTCCTGTTTGGTTGCTGTAGCAAATCAGACAGTTAAAAATACTTAAACTAGTTAAAACCAGACATTAAAACCACTGAATGATCGTTGAAGGATTTACACTCAGATATGTGAATATATAGCAATGGTGGTGAACCTATGGAACGGGTGCCAGAGGCAGCCCTCAGAGCCCTCTCTGTGGGCACGCGTGCCATTGCCCCAGTCCTAGGCCTTCAGCTGGGTTTTATAAAACCTTTTCACTTTAGGCCTCCGCTGCCGTGTACAAAAAAAAAAAGGTTCAATCAGTCAATTTCAACTTCTTGCGGGAAAAAAAAAGATCTTGCATAGTTGGAATTGATTGATTAAACTTTTAAGTCCCACCCAGTCTGCTGTTACCACTGTAGCCATGCCTACCCAATAGGCTACACCCACCCAATGGGCCACACCCACCCGGCATCCAATGATGCATAAGTGGGTTTTGGGTTGCAGTTTGGGCACTCAGTCTCTAAAAAGTTCACCATCACTGATATATAGGATTGTGGCCTAATAATTGAAAGTCTTCTGAGAAAAACGGCAACAATTATTGGCCCTCTTTGTAATTTCTTACCATGGAAGAATGCACTTATAGCCTATGTTCTCATGATTTATATGTTTACTCTGTAGTGTTCAAATCTTCAAGATAAAAAGCATGAAAATTAATTGCCAATACAATAATTAAACTAACTCAAGATTAGCTTTGTAAATGTATATATGACTCACAGATTATGTGGAATAATGTCAATATATTATTTATATTTAAAATAAAAATAATTTTGTAATGTGAAGAATATGAAAACAAAACTTGATCAAATATACAGTGGCACCATTTTCCAGTAATTCAAAATGTATTATTTGTTTCCGATTCAAAAACTATTTGTAGACATTTCTACCATGCAGCATTATTTCTTTTAGAATGTATAGACCATGAGAGCTAGTGCTGTGTGATAAGAATATGGTAGATCCTATAAATATTTCATATCCTGTATCAGTCTCATAGTCAAAAATATATGTCGACATTTTAATTTAAAAAAAATGCCCTGCATCCTGTTTATGTTCATTTATTTTATATAAAGATGCTGGAAGTGATATATACAAAGTATATTGAAAACTTAAAACGAGTAATGTAAATGCTAAATATATATTTATGAGCTATGGCTAATAGCTATTATGGTTATTCAGTTCAGTAGAAATCTGTAGAACAGGTTTATAAAATGTTTCGTTTCCCAAATAAATAGTTAATTTCATTTTATTGGAACATGACATGAAATTTCCCACTGTACTAAAAGCTCTGTTTTGAGTAAAAAAGTGGGTTGTTTTGAACATTTTGGAACCATTCTGAGCTCAAAGTAGCATTACAGCTGTGTTTTCAAGATTGAAATGCTTTGAAATTGCTCAAAACAGTTTGCTTTGAGTTCCGAAAAGGGGTTTCATATTTAGGAGGGAACATTCTGTGAAATTTCACACTTGCATTTTCTTTCATACCTATTGTCAGTTGTTAAATGGCATTTAATGTTTATTTTGCTGGCATCCAGTAGTACAGTAATGAAGATCAGTTTTGATTTGATTACATCTTTTAACCTATGTAAAATCCATTTTCCCTATTTCAAGGCAAAAGAAGCAGAAGCTTTCCTTCTGAGTCTTTCAGAAGAGATCCAGCGAAGGTTGGAAGCAGCTGGTATGAAAGGAAGACGACTAACTCTCACAGTCATGATCAGGAAAGCTGGAGCCCCAGTAGAACCTGCAAAATTTGGAGGGCATGGAATTTGTGACAGTGTTGCCAGGTAAATAGTTTGGTACATACATTTGCATGCTAATAATAAACACAATATCTCTGTTTTTCTCTGGCTTTGAGTCAGCTTTGCCTTTGCCTTTTTCCTAAGACTGAGAGAGAATGATTGTCCCAAGATCATTCTGTACATTTGATATTTAAGGCATAACTAGAACTCTCTAGTCTATTGCCTTTAATCATTGTACACTGGCTTTTAATTCATTAGACTTCCTTTTTTAAAAAAAAGATTTCTTTTTAAGTCTTTTAATACCTCCTTGTAACATTGCATTTTTATATTCTGATTTTAATGCATTATAAGCTATCCTGGGAAAACTCTGTTTTCAAGGGTGGCATAAGTTTGTTTCTATACTCTTTCACATTTCCATACATCTTATAAAACATTACTGTTAAAATACAAATAGTTCTTGACTTATGACCACAATTGAGCCCAAACTTTTTGTTGCTAAGTGAGACATTTATTAAGTGAGTTTTGCCCCATTTTACAACCTTTCTTGCCACAGTGGTTAAGTGAATCCCTGCAGTTGTAACACAGTTGTTAAGTGAATCTGGCTTCCCCATTGACTTTGCTTGTCAGAAGGTTCCAAAAGGGGATCACATAACCCCAGGACAACGCAATGCTCATAAATATAAGTTAGTTGCCAAGTGCCCAAATGTAAATCATGTGACCCTGGGGAATGCTGCTATAGTGGTAAATGTGAAAAATGATTATAAGTCACTATTTTCACTGCTGTTGTAACTGAATGATCACTAAATGAACTGTTGTAAGTCGAAGACTACCTGTACTGCAATAAGTATTTAAGGAAAATATTTATATTGTTTTGGTGCTATTTTTCTATTGTTAAAAATTAGTAGTAAAATATCTGTTGTTTTTAGAATGGTAAAGTAGTAGACTTATGTCAACACAATTTATTCATAACATTAATTGGACCTCACTATGTGTGATAACTTACTGGGGACTTAATAAAGCTACTAGTTTGATTCTTGTCTGCCAGAATATAGGGACAAGCTAGAGAAAATACACCATTGTTATCTGACAAAATGTGCAGGGAGCAAATAAGAACAAAGGCTGAACTTAATTGCAGAAATTAAACAAGTAAGCCAATTATAGATTTTGAAATGCAATATTTGGATTTTTTTTAGCTCCCACCTAAATTAAAATGATAATAGCTGTATTCCCATAGAATAGTATGCCTGTATTATCAGTAGTGGGCTAATAAACAGAGCCCATTCCCTCAATAGTAGCTTTTTCTGCTGACAAATAATTTTTATAGGTGGTCCTATTAATCTAGCAAGTTTTTTACACTTAAGGTCTTGGTTTTCTGCCTTCTTTAAAAACTAGATTCATAAACTAAAAGTTTATAGTCCTAGCTTGTAAAAGAAATAACATGACAGCATTGATCAGCAATGCTAATCATTGAAAGCAACATGTTAATCGAATCATTTTTATCATATGCATGCTCATATTAGAAAAGGATAGAAAGAATCGAGTATCAGGAAATAAGTAGCTAAGTGCATTGTAATGATATTCACTCATGGTAAAATCAAGATTTCCTAGATATTTTAAGATATTTTTTAAATCTCCTTTTTAGTATTAATTAAGAGTTTATTTTGAGTTGATCACATAATGATCAAAATGGTATGGCACAAAATAGGGTTAAGAAACCTGGAGGGAGAAAGAGGGGAACATTCAATATATTACTTGCATAATGGTTACTTTTTCTAAGGAAAAGCCGCTTTGTGGCAGTGTTCAGCAAGTAATCAGTTATGTATAAAGTGGTTTTCCTTGCCTGCTCCATTTTTACAAGCAAAAGAATAAATAAGGCAAATAGTGCGTATACCTTACAAAAGTTTACTAAATTTAAGTAGGGGATTTTTGGCACATGATGAGATAGATAGAAAGATGATAGATGAGAGAGAGAGAGATGATATAGATAGATGGATGGATGGATGGACGGACGGACGGACGGACGGACAGACAGACAGATAGATAGATAGATAGATAGATAGATAGATAGATAGATAGATAGATAGATAGAAACAGATACAGACAGATAGATGATTGATAGATTACATTCTATATATATTAAGATTGAAATCACTGGATCCAGCACTCATGCTTGATTTTCTCTTCTACAAAATTATCTACTGGCATTGCTTTATATACAGTGGGGCAAAAAAGTATTTAATCAGCCACCAATTGTGCAAGTTCTCCCACTTAAAAAGATGAGAGAGGCCTGTAATTGTCATCATAGGTAGACCTCAACTATGAGAGACAAAATGAGAAAACAAATCCAGACAATCACATTGTCTGATCTGGAAAGAATTTATTTGCAAATTATGGTAGAAAATAAGTATTTGGTCACCTACAAACAAGCAAGATTTCTGACTCTCACAGACCTGTAACTTCTTCTTTAAGAGGCTCCTCTGTCCTCCACTCATTACCTATATTAATGGCACCTATTTGAACTTGTTATCAGTATATAAGACACCTGTCCACAACCTCAAACAGTCACACTCCGAACTCCACTATGGTGAAGACCAAAGAGCTATCGAAGGACACCAGAAACAAAATTGACCTGCACCAGGCTGGGAAGACTGAATCTGCAGTAGGCAAAAAGCTTGGTGTGAAGAAATCAACTGTGGGAGCAATAGTTAGAAAATGGAAGACATACAAGACCACTGATAATTTCCCTCAATCTGGGGCTCCATGCAAGATCTCACCCCTGGGGTCAACATGATCACAAGAACGGTGAGCAAAAATCCCAGAACCACACGGGGGGACCTAGTGAATGACCTGCAGAGAGCTGGGACCAACGTAACAAAGGCAACCATCAGTAACACACTACGCGGCCAGGGACTCAGATCCTGCAGTGCCAGACGTGTCCCCCTGCTTAAGCCAGTACATGTCCGGGCCCATCTGAAGTTTGCTAGAGAGCATTTGGATGATCCAGAAGAGGATTGGGAGAATGTCATATGGTTAGATGAAACCAAAGTAGAACTGTTTGGTAGAAACACAACTCATCATGTTTGGAGGAGAAAGAATGCTGAGTTGCATCCAAAAAACACCATACCTACTGTGAAGCATGGGGGTGGCAACTTCATGCTTTGGGGCTGTTTCTCTGCAAAGGGACCAGGACGACTGATCCGTGTACAGGAATGAATGAATGGGGCCATGTATTGTGAGATTTTGAGTGCAAACCTCCTTCCATCAGCAAGGGCATTGAAGATGAAACGGGCTGGGTCTTTCAGCATGACAATGATCCCAAACACATCGCCCGGGCAACGAAGGAGTGGCTTCGTAAGAAGCATTTCAAGGTCCTGGAGTGGCCTAGCCAGTCTCCAGATCTCAACCCCATAGAAAACCTTTGGAGGGAGTTGAAAGTCCATGTTGCCCAGCAACAGCCCCAAAACATCACTGCTCTAGAGGAGATCTGCATGGAGGAATGGGCCAACATACCAGCAACAGTGTGTGCCAACCTTGTGAAGACTTACAGAAAATGTTTGGCCTCTGTCATTGCCAACAAAGGATATATAACAAAGTATTGAGATGAACTTTTGATATTGACCACATACTTATTTTCCACCATAATTTGCAAATAAATTCTTTCCAAATCAGACAATGTGATTGTCTGGATTTGTTTGCTCATTTTGTCTCTCATAGTTGAGGTCTACCTATGATGACAATTACAGGCCTCTCTCATCTTTTTAAGTGGGAGAACTTGCACAATTGGTGGCTGACTAAATACTTTTTTGCCCCACTGTATATATTGTTGTTAATTGCGAAGTCGTGTCCGACCCATCGCGACCCCATGGACAACGCTCCTCCAGGTCTTCCTATCCTCTACCGTCTTCTGGAGTCCATTTAAGTTCACACCTACTGCTTCAGTGACTCCATCCAGCCATCTCATTCTCTGTTGTCCCTTTCTTCTATTGCCCTCAATATTTCCCAGCATTAGGTTCTCCAGTGAGTCCTTCCTTCTCATTAGGTGGCCAAAGTACTTGAGTTTCAACTTCAGGATCTGGCCTTCTAAAGAGCAGTCGGGGTTGATCTCTTCTAGGACTGACCGGTTTGAACGCCTTGCAGTCCAAGGGACTCGCAGGAGTCTTCTCCAGCACCATAGTTCAAAGGCCTCAGTTCTTTGGTGCTCAGCCTTTCTTATGGTCCAACTTTCACAGCCATACATTGCAACTGGGAAAACCATGGCCTGGACTATACGCACTTTTGTTGGCAGGGTGATGTCTCTGCTTTTTTAGTATGCTGTCTAGATTTGCCATAGCCTTCCTCCCCAGGAGCAAGCATCTTTTAATTTCTTGGCTGCAGTCCCCATCTGAGGTGATCTATAAATATTGAATGTAACTCCATATGTTCATATCTAGTTTGTATAACTGATTGGAATTTGTAAAACAATTGAAATTAAGATCAGAATAACATGTCTAGAAGCCTATCTAGTTCTTTTTTCTATATTGACAACACAGTTTTCTACCACAATCATGGAAACAAGATATGACAGCAATAGTACTTGGCAATTTTGGAAACAATGAGTATATTCAAATATGTGCTTCTTCTGATCCTAGTGATGACATGTACTCAATCTAATTAGTAGCCATTGTAAGGCTGTTGATGCATTTTAAAATGTATGTATTTGTAGGACTGTGACTCTCAACCATGCAACAGATAATGCCAGAGTGATTGGGAAAGAAATAATAAATATGTTTCACACAATGAAGTTGAATATTTCTGATATGAGAGGGGTAAGTTTTTAAATCTCTGCAACTTCAGCACTCATGCTTGATTTTCTCTTTTACAAAATTATTTACTTGTATTGCTTTATTGTTCTAAATAGGAGTGGATATGTGATAAATATTTATTTTTTCCGGACTTCCGGTGGTTAAAGCGGTGGAGATGGCGGCTACTTTGTAGCCGTCCTCCTGAGGAGGTGTCAGATCCGCGGAGCACAGCGTTTACCAGCTGGCCCGCGGCTCGCAATCCCCTTCCCGGGCGAAGGGAAGGGGTAGAGATCGCATGAATAGAGGTAGAACCTCTTAACTCTCCCTGGATTTTTATTTTTAGGGGGGTAGAAAGAGGGTTCCCTCGGAGTTCATTGCCTTCTCCGCCTCTCAGCTGTCTTTGTTTCTTCGGAAACAAAGCGAGACGCCGCTACCATCTCCGTACTTAAAGAAACCGTGAGTAATCTTAAACCGGACAGAACTGTTTAAAGGATTTTATTTATAGTTTAGCTTTATTTTATCTTTTTTTAGTTTATTTAGTTTATTTAGTATGTGCTGATTTTTCTTTATTTTTTTGAGCTTTCTCTTTTTTTTTCGGGCGGAAAAGTGAGAGTGAAAGTAAAATGGCGTTTTGAAAGTTTTTTCCTTTAAAAGACGGATCGGCTGAATTGTTGTTTAATACTGCTTTTTTTTTACTTTTTTACTTTTTTATTCTTGGGGACTTTTAGATTGATCTTATTTTATTCTATTTTATCTTATTTTTAATTTTTTTTTTGGATTACTTATTTTTATCGGTATTTTTAAGAAGAAAGGAAGATAAATTAAAATGGCTTCAAAACGACAACCAGCTACTGCAGCTTCTAAAGTAACTTCTTCTCCTGCTACTTCTACTGTGCAACAACAACTTAAAATAATACCCTCAGTGCAGCAACCTAAATCCACTCCACCTTCACCTCCCCCATCTGGCACATCAGCACAAGACATTAAAGAAATAATGGTAAGTGCTGTCTCACAGTTTAGGGAGGAAATGAAACAACTTTTGGACCAGAATAAATCTGAAACTAAGGAGGAAATGAAGAAAGAGATGAAGGAGCTTTTAGAACAGAATAATGCTATTTTGAGGGATGATATACTTCTAGCTCTATCTGGAATGGCCTCAGTGGTTGTGAAGCTGGACTCCAGAGTAGAGGAAATTGAAGAAACAGTTGAACTTTTGGATTATAAATTTCAAGATATGGAGAAAAAAGTGGAGACTTCACAAGATGATATTCTTATGTTCCAGTATAGACAGATGGAATATGCTTTGAGAATAAGGGGTCTGAAAGAAGATAAAACTCAAGATTTGATGGAAATGGTGATTAATGACTTGGCTGTTATTTTGAATATTGATAAAGAAGAGTTACGTGGGGATGTGGAAAGAATTTATAGAGTTAATTCTTGGATTGCAAAACAGAGGAATTTGCCTAGAGATGTGGTGATATATTTTGCTAAGAAGTCTTTGCGAAATCAGATTCTACAAACTTTTTATAATAAAAGATTTCAGATTGCTGCCCAAGATATTATTATTTTAAAGGAAATTCCACCTAAAATTTTAAGAAGCAGAAAAGATTTTGCTTTTTTAGTAAATGAACTTAAAGCAAGACAAATGCCATTTAGATGGGAGATTCCGATGGGCATTGTTTTGAGCCATGCGGGGACACGTTATAGACTTAATACAGTTGCTAAAGCTAAGGAATTTTATAAAACGGTCCTGGGAGCAGGCTCTCCTTTGCCCATGATGCATAAAGTCTTGAGTGACAAAGAGATGGAACAGAAATCTGAAGGTACAGGGATGATGACTGCTGGACAGGTGGTATGGATGTCTCAACCAGAGGTTAAAGAACAGAGAATGACCCGTGCAGCACATAAACGTAAAGAAAAAGAACAACAGAAAAAAGAAAAAGAAAAAGAAATTGAAGAATCTACTCAGCAAATTGCTTCAGTGCCGGTGGGAGGAGCAAGACCCAAAAGCTCTGCTACATATTCATCAGCAGCAGAATTTGAGCGGATCTTCTCCAGGCTGAAGGCCAAGGGAGATGGCAAAGCTCCTGTCCTGGAATGTTAATGGATTAAACATTCCTCAAAAGAGAAAAAAAATTTACCACTATTTGAAACAACATAACAATGATATTATTTGCTTGCAAGAAACTCATATTACAGCTAAAGATCAAAAATATTTAAATAATCCTCGCTTGGGATCTCATTTTGTATCTCCCGCCCCTGGGAAGAAAGGGGGTGTGGTAATCTATGTTAAACAGAATTTATCTGCTACCTTGTTAGAATCAGATCCTTACGGAAGATATGTTATGCTTGAACTTGGTTTATATGGCAAGAAAATTCTTATTGTGGGGTTGTATGCACCAAACCAGCAACAGGAGCAATTTTATAGGTTACTACATCAGAAAATAACTTTGTTGGACTATAGATCTGTGATTTTAATGGGAGACTGGAATGGTGTCTTAGATATACAAATGGACAAAAAAGGCTCTTCTACCTTTTTTAAACAGGCTAAATTACCTAAAGCCTTTTTTGATATGAAAGAAGATTGGGAATTGAGAGACTATTGGCGTGAACGTAATCAAGAAGAAAAGGATTTTACGTTTTTCTCAGATAGACACCAATCTTTCTCAAGAATTGATTTCTTTTTGATCACAACAGATTTATACAACAGGGTGAAGAATGTAAAAATTTTTCCTAGGACATTGTCTGATCATAGTCCAGTTTGGATGGAACTGTTTGTAGAGAAGGAAGATAGGAGATCCTGGAGGGTGAATGAGAATTTATTTAAACAAGAAAAAAATGTTCATAAATTAAAGGAATGTTTAAAGGAATATTTTACTTTAAATATGAACAAGGGAACATCAATGTCAATGGTCTGGGATGCAAGTAAAGCTTTCATGCGTGGTATTTTGATAAAAATGAATAATTTGCATAGACAGAAACAGACTCAGAAACGGAAAGACTTGGAAGAGGAGATTAAATTAAAAGAGAAACTTTTAATTTCAAATCCCTTAGATGAAAAGGTTAAAGGAGCTTTAAAATTGTTAAAAACACAATTTAACATGCTGATGGCTGATCAAGCTGCAACTAATTTGCTATTTATGAAACAAAATACATTTTGTAATGCTAATAAACCAGGGAGATGGTTGGCTTATCAGTTAAGAAAAAAACAGAAACAGAGGAATATAGATAAAATAAATTATAATGGTAAATTGGTTTATCAGAAAGAATTGATTAAGAAATCTTTTTTAGAATACTATCAAAAATTATATAAGGGTACTAATATTCAAATTATAGATATAAATAATTATTTAGGCAAAGTTAACTTTCCTAAATTAACAGAAGATCAGGAAAAAAAGATTAACGGTTTAATTACTAAGGAAGAAATTGTTACAGCTATTAAACAATTGAAATTGGGCAAAGCGCCGGGTACGGATGGGTTGACATCTATTTATTATAAAGCTTTAGTAGAAGAGATGATTCAACCGTTGTGTGAACTGTTTAATAATTTATTACAGGGGTTAGAGATCCCTCCATCCTGGCGTAATGCATTTATATCATTGATTCCAAAAGATAGTCAAGATCTTACTTTGCCTAAAAATTATAGGCCTATATCTCTTTTAAATGTGGATTATAAAATTTTTGCAAAATTTTTAGCTAACAGGCTTATGGGGATCTTGCAGCAGTTTATACATAGGGATCAATCGGGTTTTATAACTGGAAGGTATATGAAGAATAACGTTAGACAAATTATTAATTTATTAGAGTATTTAGAAAAGAATAACCAAGTCTCTGCAGGCCTGATATTTTTGGATGCTGAAAAAGCCTTTGATCAAGTGAATTGGCAGTTTATGCTGTGTTTAATCAAGGAGATGAATTTTGGACAAAATATATTACAAGTATTATCCAATATATATCAAAAACAGACTGCTCAAATTATTGTAAATGGGGGTTTGTCAGAGGCTTTTGTAATAGAAAAAGGAACAAGACAGGGATGCCCGTTGTCTCCGTTATTGTTTGTTTTAACACTGGAAATTTTGTTGATTAAAATTCGGGAGTCTCAAGAAATAAAAGGAATAGAAATTAATAAAAAAGAATATAAATTAAGAGCCTTTGCAGATGACTTGGTTGTTACTTTGTCTCAACCTGTTTCTTCGGTGGTGAAATTATTACAATTGATTCAACAATATGGACGTGTTTCTGGCTTTAAAATTAATAATAATAAGACCAAAATATTAGCTAAAAATATGACTAATGGTGATAAACAGGCTCTAGTTAACTTAACAGACTTTGAAATTGTTGATAAGGTAAAATATTTGGGGGTTACATTATCTGCTTCTAATGTAAAATTGTATAAAAATAATTATGAAAAGCTGTGGATGGAGGTACAGAAGGATTTAAAAAACTGGAATAATTTACAGTTATCCCTTATGGGCAGAATTGCAGTTATTAAAATGAATGTCCTGCCAAAGTTTATTTTTTTGTTTCAAATGTTACCTATCTTAAAGAACGAACGTAATTTAGATGAATGGCAAAAAGGTATTAATAAATTTGTTTGGGCAGGGAAAAAACCAAGGGTGAAACTTAAAATAATGCAAGATTTTCGTGAGAGAGGTGGACTCAAGGTACCAAATATGAAATTGTATTATGATGCTGTAGTATTGACATTGATTAGCGACTGGGTGAATTTAACAAATACAGAAATACTTCATTTGGAAGGCTGGGACCTACTTTTTGGATGGCATGCCTATTTAATATTTAATAAAAAAGTGGATTGGGTTTTTAAGTCTCATATTATAAGAAACTCTTTGCTTAAGAGTGTGGAGAAAGTATTATAAAAGTGACTTCAAAATACCATTATGGGCTATACCTCGGCATGCCATAGAAGGTATAAGGAAAGGGGTAAATATGGACAAGGTCTCTTACGTACAGTTACTAAGATGGGATGGCCAAGACTGGCAGTTAAAATCTTTGGAAGAATTAACACATGAAAACTTAACTTATTCATGGTTCCAATATAGACAAATAGTGGATAGATGGAAGATGGATTGTAAAATGGGCTGGCTTAGAGAAGATGAAATTTTTTTAAAACAAGTAAGAGATCAAAGGCCAACCCATATTAAGAGAGTTTATGGGGTTTTAGTGGAATTAGATTCAGAACTTGAACTAGTTAAAGATTGTATGATTAAATGGGCACAGAATATTGGTGAAACGATTTCAATGGATACTTGGGAACTTATTTGGATAAGAAATGTTAAATTCACACAAGCGCAAAATTTAAGAGAGAATTTTTATAAGATGTTTTATAGATGGCACCTTGACCCAAAGAAAATGTCCATTATGTACCCTAATCTACAGCCGAAATGCTGGAGATGTGGATATTTGGATGCTACCTATTACCATATTTGGTGGACGTGTAAGCATATAAAAGCTTTTTGGATTAAGATATGGTGGAATATTCAAAGAATTTTTAAAAGGAGGGTAAAATTTACTCCGCAATTATTTTTACTAGGTATTGTTATTGACTGTGATGCTAAGGAGGTTATATTGATGTTAAATTTGATTACAGCCGCTAGGTTGTTAATAGGACAATATTGGAAGAAGGAATCTTTGCCTACTTTACAAGAATGGTTTCATAAAGTTTCGTATTTGGCAGAAATGGCAAAGATTTCGGCTTTCTTAAAGGAGCAATCTCAAGAAAAATTTTTTGCGGTATGGGAAAAATGGATAAATTTTATACAACATAATTTGGATATGGAAAAATATTATTTAGCCTTTTTATAATTTGTAATGATTGTTTTTTCTTTCTTTCTTTCTTCTTTTTCTTTTTTATATATATACATTTTTTACGTATTATTATTCATATATTTTTTTTTTATATATATGCTTTATTCTTCGTCTACTTTCTTCTTTCTTCTTTCTCTCTCTCTCTTCTTTTTTTATTTTTTTTTCCTTTTTAGTATATATTATTCATTTTAAAGTTTATGTTATGTATATTATTATTATATATATTATTACTGTGATTTTTATTTGTTAATATTTGTTAAATAATCCTATATTCAGTTCTGGGAAGTCGGGGGGGGGGTGGTTGGGGAGGGGGGGTGGATTCTTATTTGTAAAACTTTTGAAAAATTTCAATAAAAAAAAAAAAAAATATTTATTTTTTCCAATGTGATAAATCCTATTACACGTGAAATATTGCAGTTTTACATTTGGACTAACTGGCCAGTCATTATTTAAAATGGTAAACACCAGTCTGAGAAATAAGAATATGAAAAGGAGCATTGGCTAGAGTTAGGGAACTTTGGAAACTCTTGCATTAAACAGATTGTAAGATCTTTAATCATTCTTAGTTAATCAGCTAACTGGTTCAAGAATGTTTCATCCAATAATTATAGATTCTTATTACTGAACAAATCTTGTACATTTAATTTCACTATGACCTCTCCTTTTATTATTCTCATAAACATCCATACAGCGGGCTTTTTTTTCACTCACAGTGGGGTGGGTATGTCCATGTGTGTGTGTTTGAAAGGTATAGATTTATGAAAAGGTATAGATTTATGAAAAGATATTCCAAAAATAATTTATTAATGTTAAATATCTTTAGAAGACAATAGTTTTTGCTGCAGCAGACTATAAAGAAGCTATCCCCCCAAATTTACCCTGGTATCTTGTTTCCTAGGTTGGAATTCAAGTGCATCAGCTAGTTCCAGTTAATAAAGCAATTTCCATATCTTCCTCTAACACTTCGTTGCCTTCTGGGTTCTTGCCTGGTGGAGCTGATTCAATTATTGATTTTTTGCAAGTTCCAAAAGTTGTGAAGAAGTCCAAGAATAAAGAAGAAGAACACAAGGAAGGTTGGAAGATAAATAACATTTTGCTTGTAGTTTTTTTTTAAAGATAGCTTTTAAAATAAATTGTTATTCTTAGAAAACAGAGTTCCTATGTTACATTAATAGTTTTACCTTTTGCTGGAAAAGTTAGTTGAGTTACTATACATTTGTGGTTTTAGCTTGGTATTCTGAAGTGATTGAAAATGTTACCTTTTCATTGATAGTGTTTTTGGCTGCTGTGGATGTTGAAATATCTTCTACATCAAAAGCATGCACAGAGTTACCATCACAAGCAACTAAACTCCATCACATTACCAGCAAATCTGAGCCTAATACCAGTTTGAATGGCTTATATCCACCAATCAGTATAAAATCTAGGCTTAATTTAAGTATTGAAGTGCCATCAGCTTCCCAGGTAAAATTTCCTTTTATGTGGATAATATAAAATTAATTTTATGCCCCTTTCTTAATAAAGGATGCATAATGAATAGTTTGTGGCTGTTTATACTTAATGCTTAGTACTCCAGTGCATGTGTTTTTCCTGGGTTTGGTTTGAAAAATAATTTGTTTAATTGAATGGAAGAGAAAATGGTCTGAACTCCCTGCATGTCATGGCGGCATCTGAGTTACCCAAGCTTCATGAGCCTGACATTAGCACTGGGGGGGGGGGGAGGAAGATTGGAAGGTAAGTACCGGGGAGGGATGGCAGCCTTGCTGAGCCTTATGAAAAGACAGCCAAGGTCAACTAACGATATGCAGAGCTGGGAACTGAAGCACCTGATTGGATATTTGCAGATGGGGGGGGGCAGGGAGAGGGAACTTTACTTTTGTGTTGTTTGCATGGGAAAACCTCAGATTCAGCTTATGCTATTTCTGTATCCATTTCAACTTCAGTAAAGTATGCTCTTGGCAAAACAAATGGCCAAGAATTTTTCTTTGCTAGATAACTGTGTGGGACCGTTGACATTGGACAATAAGGAAAGAGCATTGCCACTCTCTTCCATCTGTTAGTCTATTGACTGAATTATTTCAGTCAATTATTAGCCATTTCTCTTTATATTTCATTTTTTTTAATTTTTATTTTTCCTTTTTCTCTTTACAAACAACAAAATACAAAGTACATTTTTTCTTTTTTCTTAACAATACTGTGTCCTATATCTCTTACATTTATTTACATTACTTCTCATACTTTTTTATTCCTCAATTCTAACCAATTGTAATACATGTCCCATATCTCATAAAATTCTGTAACTTCTTTGTCCTTTATTTCTAAGGTAAGTTTGTTCATCTCAGCACAATCTAATATCTTGTGTATAATTATTGCATTTGGTATGTTTTCCCTTTTCCAGCATTGTGCATATGCAATGCATGCTGCAGTTATTATATGTATAATGATTATTGAAATTTTTTTTCCATTTTTGAATTGATTATGCCTAAAAGAAATATTTCGGGTTTAAGTTCAATTAGTTGTTTTGTTATTTCCTATATCCATCTCCTTATCTGCTCCCAGTAGATCTTTGCTTTGGGGCATTGCCACCACATATGGTAAAATGTTCCTTCCAGATACATATTTTTATATATCTTGGCCAATCTCACCGGTGCTAAATGCCATCTGTAGAACATTTTATATTGGTTTTCTTTGTATGCAGTTGACAGCGTTAGTTTGTAATTTCTGTTCCATATTCTTTCCTATTCATCTAATTCTATATTTCTACCTATATTTCGTGCCCATGCTATTTATTTCTTCTTCCAATTCAACTTCTAATAAGAGTTTATAGGTTTTTGTTAAAAATTTTCCTCCCTTGTTTGTCAGTATTTTGTCCAATTGCTGTGGTATCAGACTTATTCCATACTCTTCCATGACTTTGCTATATTTTGCTTGTATCTGTATATATGGCCACCAATCAATAGTTATTTCCTGTTCTTTTACAGTAATTCATCTCTTGATCTTAGTTTCCATTGGTTATCTAATAATTCTTTATACCTTATCATCTTTGTTTTATCCAGTGTGTTTGGATGAATCATTGCCTCCATTGGTGAGATCCAAATTGGAATTTTCGTATAATATATTTTTTTAACTTTTTCCCATGTCCAAATTAATGCATCCCTTATCTGATGCCGGTAAAAGTATGTGTGGGATTTCTTATCTTTTCCCCATAAAAACGCATGCCATTCAGCCTGTACATCATGACCTTCAATTGTTAAAACCCTTTTGTTTTCTAAGTTTATCCAATCGCTGATCCAAAGCAACCCTGCTGCTTGGTAATAGATTTCTCATTTTGGGAGCTCAAGGCCACCTCTACTTCTACTGTCCTGTAACGCTTTAACATTTATTCATGCTTTTTTACCTAACTGTATAAATTTATTAATAATTTTGTTTAATTTGTCAAAAAAAAATTCCCCAATTTTATTGGAACTGTTTGAAATAGATATAACAATTTTGGTAGAATATTCATTTTAATCACCAAAATCCTTCCTAACAATGTTAATTATAATTTCTCCCAAATCTCTAAATCTTTTTTTATTTGTAGTATCAATTTTTATAATTATCTTCTTTTATTGAAGAACACCTTATGGTGAGCTAAATTCCTAAATATTTAATCTTTTTTACAACCTCAAATTTTCTTCTAATCCCCTTTTTTGTTTTTCAGTTGAATTTTTTACTAGTATTTTAGTCTTTGTTTATTTTTAGTCCCACCACCATTCCATATTTTTCTATTTCATTCATTAGAATATTACCTCTTTCTAATGGTTCCTCTATAAAAAACACCAAATCATCTGCAAATGCAAACGTATTCTTCTGTTTTAACCTTTAGTCCTTTTATCTCTTTGTTGTTTCTAATTTGAGTTAATAGCACTTCTAACGTTTTGTAATATATTTTATTGATTTTTTAAAAACATAAATCACTTAATTGTTGAACTGTGTTGTCTGGATTTACATTTATAAAGCAATCACTAACAATTGATTTCCATAATCCACATAATAGTTTTAGTTGATTTCCTCTTTTCCCACAAAATCCTCTTTTGCAAAACATTGAGTTAATACAATTCTTGTTTTGATAGATAACAATTAAATATATATATTTCCCCAATATTCCTAAAAATAATAATCTCATCAATATAATATTTCTTTTCTATCCGATCATTCTGGTTGCCTTATCATAGATCCTGTTACAGTCCTTATTTTAATTTTTTCTCCCACCAAATTTTAGATATTCTTACTGGTTAAGATTTTCTCAAAAATTAATTACATTTAAAAATTTGACTCTGTTTTTTTCTATATGAACCATCTCACACTTTTACATTTCCTAAGGGATAGATAAAACAGTGAAAAAAAAGAAAGAGCATGAGTAAAGAAACAAAAAATAACACCTTACTTAAAATATATATCCCTCCTAAGCTAATATATATTTGTTTCAAGATTTCTTATTCTTTATTAACCATAATTAAAAATGTTTAATCTTTAAATATTCCAATTAATAAATCTAATCATCTAATTCTTCAACTCTTATTCAAAACATTTTTAATCTATTACAATTTTCTTAAATTCAATCACATTTAAATATCTAAAACATTTCCTTTATCTAAGTCATTGCAACTTTTTTATATTACTCATATCAAGAAAGAGAATAAAAAAGTTGAAAAAAGCATATTATATTATTTAGGGAATTCATCCCTCTTAGAATGACATATATATTCCAAATCTTTTCTATTTCTTTAACCATATTCAAACAAATGTTTCTTTTTTAAGTGTTCTCTCTGGTAAGTCCCATCATCTATTTTCTGGGTTTCTACTGTATCTTTTTCCTTTGCCCAACATCTTTCATAATCAATGTATTTTGCTGAATCAAAAGGTTTTTCCATATGTTCGTAAATGTTATTCTAGAATATAAAAAGTAAATCAGGTGAAGTGTCTTTGTACAGGGCTTCTGCCTTTCCATGTTTGTTGAAGATCTTTTTCTTTCTCTCCGCTTCTCTTATCATTTCCTTTCTCTCCGATGTTCCTGACATCTCTACAGTCCATTTTATCCAATCTGTTTTTTTGTCCTCAGATTTATTTTGTAGTCTTATGGGATAAGTTTTTTCCAATTCTTGTAAAAAAAAATTTCCACTAGAATTAAATCATGTTTCTTTGTTTTGTTAAGTTCCATCTTTAAGTCTCTATTCTCAATTCTATATCCATTTATCTGTTTTATCTTCTCCTTCTCTGTTGTTGTTTTCTGGGAATTTTTTTGCTGTAGAGTTAATTTGGAAATAGATTGATTTATATTTTCAAAGTTATTTTGGATTTCTTTATGGTTTAAAGTCATTGTTGTTTGAAATAGTTGCAGTATATTATATATCTCCTCCTATGAAGTATTTATGTTTTCTTGGTATGTTCTTTCTACATGTCTCTGATCCATGATGGCCAAGAATTTGAGTTTTTCTCTTCCTTTCTTTTCTCTGTAAATATCTTTAGAGTCCCAATTAAATAGATATTTGTAATTCAAATAGTTCAAAAAAGGTTTTTTTTTCCTGAAATTTATAATACTCTTTGTCTGCAGCCTAGATTATTGTTTTTTTTTTTAAATCACAGCTGTTCTTTGTTGTTAAAGCTTTGAAGGTCACAGACACAGATTAGCTGTTCCCAGGTTTTGCCAAGTCTTATAGTCATAGCTGTCATAGTCTTCATCCTTCACTAGGTGTCAGCAACATTTCACTTCCATGTATTTTGATCCTCTATAAAAAGATTAATTCGCCGCTTCCATTAGTATAAGGGTGGGGCAGAAATCCCCCTTCTTTCCTTTTGGAGGTATTTTGCTTCTTGGGAATCTTTTCCAGGAAATTACATATAAAGTAGAAAAGAGAAGATCGGATTCCTCACGCTACTAGTAGCTTGGACTGGTCAATGCAAAACAGCCAGCCTTTCTCCTGTCGGGTTAGAAGGCAACACTGTTCCAGAATCGCTGGAGCACCCTTCTTTCTTTGCCACCTCTCCGGGCCCCCTGGCAGGGCGAAACTAGCCATGGGGGTGTGGAGAATCTGCAAGCTCGCGACTGGTCGCTACGGTGCAAAACCAGAAGTTAAGACTTAAGGATTTAGTTTAACTTGTCCTGAGCGTCTAGGATGCATTCACTTATGTTAGATGCTACTATTACATGTAGACATAGGTGCAAGAGAAGAACAGCTTCTTCCTTTTATACTCTAAAACATATTGTACTTGTTTATTTACCAAGCAAAGAGTAAAATATAGTGTTTCTGAGAAGAGTTCTGGGTTTAAGTTACATCAGATTTTCATTTCCACTTTCTTAAAGAAAACCACTATTAACATTTTTTTCTTCATAGCTTGATCAGTCTGTTTTGGAAGCATTGCCTTCTGATCTTCGAGAACAAATAGAACATGCATATTCTCTTCAACTAATAGATGCACATGATAATAGCAAGAAGGAACCAATAAATGGATACAATACTAGCTTTCCATCCCAGCCTGCTGGAACCGTTCTATTACAGATGCCAGATGAGAAAGAATCAAGCAGTAATGCTGGGATTAATATAATAGCACTCCCAGCATTTTCACAGGTAAATAATAATATGTATTAGTAGATTTAATGTGGTAGGCATTTTCTATAGAAGTTCTGTTAAATTTCTAGTTAGAAACACCATTAATATAAATATTTCTTACACTAAAGCCAAAACTCAGAAGTTTACACATTATAGTAATGTTTCAGTGATTTCATATCAGTGATATACTCACAAGAGGATGCTTTATTACTTAGGTGGATCCTGATGTTTTTGCTGCCCTTCCTTCAGAATTGCAGGAGGAACTTAAACAAGCATATGACCAAAGGCAAAATCATGTAGAGAACATATTACAGCAAACAAGTGCCACTGGTGAGTCTTTGAATGCAGTCCTGTCAAATAATTGCGTGTAATCTTTTTTATTGCAGCAAATTTGTGTTACAATGGCTATGTCATGGTTATTTCTTTAATCATAAAATACTATGCAATTCTCAGTCTTATTTCTTTCTTCTTAGCATCAAAGAATCCGGTTACAAAAAGTAAGAAAAGAACTAGAAAGAAAATCCAGGTCAGCCCAGTAAAAAAGAACCTTAGTCCTTTCAAAAACAAGTGTTTGGGTAACCCTGCAAAAAATATGGTTGTTTCTGTTGGAAGTCCTCAGAAATTAATAGATAACTTCTTGAAACAGGAAAAAGCAATCAGTGACAATCCTCAGGTAACTTTATAAGATAATGCAGCATTTCAGTATGTTTAAACTCATTCTGATTTAAACTAATAAATTTCTTATTTTTCTGGGGTTCTTGTGCTTGGGCTTATTAAATGTTTCCTATTGAGAAGACAAGAAATTTTTATTTTTATATATCTTTCTGGATAGATGGAAGAAATACAAGCTATTACAAATCCTTCCAGTCCATCTATTTCACAGCCATTATCGTCTACCACAATTTGGCCTCAAGCACCTAATCTAGCAGGAGCTATTGAGTTTAACGATGTAAAGGCCTTGCTTAAGGAATGGATTACAACTATATCAGGTAAACTCTAGGTGTATTACTTTTTAATGAAAGAGTTGGTGTATCTTGTAAGTAAACTTAATTGAAACAAAGCTACATTTCATGTTTGTACTGGATGTCATCAAATATTTGCATTCTATAACCCTGGTATCATTATTTTTGAATAGAAGAGGAGATTCAATATTTAAAATAGTTTAATTGATTCTTAATGTTATTTACTATACTTTTTAAGAGCTACTGTGGGTTTCCACTATTGCCTGCATTCTGTAGTCTTCAAAGGATATTTCTCTTAAAATGCCAGAGAAGTGTCTCTTCCAGTATACATATTTCAAATTAGACAATGTTCAAAATCACACAAGATTTTGTATACATAATAAAACACAAGCAGCTTACTTTACTCACTTGAAAGAGGCAGATTTTTTGTTTTAAAAGGAATGTCAATTTACATCAGCATCAAAACATCCTTTAATTTAAAGCTGCTTAATTTCTGTTGCTTCTAAGAGACATCCTATAAATTATGTATAATTTTGCAGATCCCATGGAGGAAGACATTTTGCAAGTTGTGAAGTATTGTACTGATCTGATAGAAGAAAAGGATTTAGAAAAGCTGGATCTAGTTATAAAGTACATGAAAAGGTAATTAGAGGCTAACGTATTTTTGATATATAGAAATAAAAAATCCAGATATTGAAAATAAGTTATAAAACTTTTAAGAATTTCAGGTAATGATTCTTTATACTTGCATATCTTGCATTTGTCATGTTATTTTCCACACAATTGAATATCTGGGACTTGTTCATTTGTGGTACTACATCCATTATTTATTGTGGATTGATTTCTCTGCATTATACTGGTGGGTTTGCCCTTGCAATGTTCTGGAAGATTTCTGAGAGGAAGCCTGTATGGCAGTCCTGCCTCTCTTCTGCCTGCTTTGTGTTGTTGTTGTTAATTGCGAAGTTATTTTCCACCATAATTTGCAAATAAATTCTTTCCAAATCAGACAATGTGATTGTCTGGATTTGTTTGCTCATTTTGTCTCTCATAGTTGAGGTCTACCTATGATGACAATTACAGGCCTCTCTCATCTTTTTAAGTGGGAGAACTTGCACAATTGGTGGCTGACTAAATACTTTTTTGCCCCACTGTATATATTGTTGTTAATTGCGAAGTCGTGTCCGACCCATCGCGACCCCATGGACAACGCTCCTCCAGGTCTTCCTATCCTCTACCGTCTTCTGGAGTCCATTTAAGTTCACACCTACTGCTTCAGTGACTCCATCCAGCCATCTCATTCTCTGTTGTCCCTTTCTTCTATTGCCCTCAATATTTCCCAGCATTAGGTCCTTCTCCAGTGAGTCCTTCCTTCTCATTAGGTGGCCAAAGTATTTGAGTTTCAACTTCAGGATCTGGCCTTCTAAAGAGCAGTCGGGGTTGATCTCTTCTAGGACTGACCGGTTTGAACACCTTGCAGTCCAAGGGACTCGCAAGAGTCTTCTCCAGCACCATAGTTCAAAGGCCTCAATTCTTTGGCGCTCAGCCTTTCTTATGGTCCAAATTTCACAGCCATACATGCAACTGGGAAAGCCATGGCCTGGACTATACGCACTTTTGTTGGCAGGGTGATGTCTCTGCTTTTTAGTATGCTGTCTAGATTTGCCATAGCTTTCCTCCCCAGGAGCAAGCGTCTTTTAATTTCTTGGCTGCAGTCCCCATCTGAGGTTATCTTGGAGCCCAGAAAAATAAAATCTGTCACTACCTCCATTTCTTCCCCATCTATTTGCCAGGAACTGAGAGGGCCGGATGCCATGATTTTGGTTTTCTTAATGTTGAGTTTCAAGCCAACTTTTGCACTCTCCTTCTTCACCCGCATCAAGAGGCTCTTTAGTTCCTTTTCACTTTCTGCCTGCTTTGTGTTAACTTGCCTCAAATCTCCTGCATTGCAATATTATTCCAGATTTATTAGGATATTAGATCACCAACTTTATTAGGAGTGTTCTCTATGATTTTGTATTCTGAATATAGACACATGAAGAATATGGGGAGTTTTCCTTTTTTCCCCATTTTTTTCTATTAAAATGTTTTTTTTTTCCTTTTGTTCCCAGCTTTTTTACCATATGGCCAAGGCCCACTGTTTCTCTGAAATTTCACATATGCTGCGGCTTCTGTCCACAAACCCTTTCTGTTTAGCAGGATATTGTGTGGATTCCTATCCATTGCCCAAAGTATTAGAATAAAATTTAAGCACTGTGAAACTACTTCTGTTTGGCAAAAAAAAAATAATCCTGTTTTATTATTTTATTCAAGAAATTGTTCACTTAAGCAATTAAACTTGTTAAACAATTAGAGGTTTCTTTGCCATCTTTATGGAAGTTTATTTACTTCCCCTTTCTCCCTTTCATGCCTATTGATGGTTCGTCTGTCCCATTCCCTTCTTCCATAACCAATATTTCCACCCCCACGATAGGATTAAATGGCTTGAAAGAAAATTGAATTACAACATCAGTAGGAAGTATTAGGAGCTTCTATCTATTCATCTCTTACATCTGTTGTAATCTTCCTCTTGGCTTTGGTTTGTCAAACAAGTATTCAGCCATCAAGAATCAATCCTGGTTTATCTGATTAGTACTGTGGTGAAGTTGCACTTAATATGATCACCTTTTCCTAAGAGCTTTAAATTCTACCTTTCCCAGGCAACTTTATTATCATTTTTCTACTCCAGTTCTTTTAGATGTTTGGAATCTTCCTTATGTGATTGCAAGTGAAATGCAGCTTATCTGTTTACAGTAACAAAGCTGCAACTTTGTGAACCACATTTTGATATAAAATCAGCACAATGCACAGGCTACAAACAAAACAACTGTTTGTTTCTCTATAACTAGTTGAATGGCTCCAGGATTTCACATAACCCACCTGCCATAATTTCTTGCATGTGCTCCTTCTGCTAAGCTGCCCTAATTGTTAAGGAATTGAGGAGATAGCAGGCCTGAATAAACCTCTACAAATGGATAAGATTTCAGACAAGAGGTTAGCTAGAACGTGTTCTGAAATGTTCTACAAATGTGCAAACCCATCAGTTTGTATGCTCAGAATAATCCTAGTTATAGATAAGGAGTTGGAGTTGTTCTATTCTTTGAATTGTTCTCATTAAATACCAGTTATACTGTTCCTTATAAAAGTTCTGTAAATTTGTAAACTGACAAATATTTTGACTACATTTCATAGTTTAAATCTCATGATTTAATACCTAATTACAGAATGCATAATTTTGTATGTTTGTCTTGGCCACTTTATATTTATTTTTAAAATCATCTTGCATAGACATTTTAGCTAAGTGTATATGTTTGCATGTATTTTTCCATCAACAATATTTTAAGTATTTTCACACAAGAAAGCAACAGGACCAGGGCTGTTCCAGCTCAAATCTTGCTCTGTAATCTGTGAAAAAGTGTGATGATGATTTTTCCTTTCTATTCTATCACTTTTTTTTATCTCCACAGGCTAATGCAGCAGTCTGTAGAATCAGTATGGAACATGGCATTTGATTTCATTCTTGACAATGTTCAAGTTGTTCTGCAACAAACTTATGGAAGCACATTAAAAATTATCTGATCTTGTAGAAAAGGATATGGCAAGAGCCTGGAGCTCTCTGATAGCTGTACCATAAGTGCTTGTGAGGTATTTGCAAAGTGCATGACATTAAGCTAAGTTTTTATAAGTTGATTTTTTTTTAAAGGAGAAGGTGTTTTGTACATTTTCTTTCAGCAAAGTGCCAAAATTTGTCAGTATTGCATGTAAATAATTGTGTTTAAATTCTTTTATTATAGTATAGAATCAATTTACAAAATGTTTGTTTATAAAAGTTTTATGGATTTTTACAGTGAAGTGTTTACAATTGTTTAATAAAGAATTGTATGTAATTTGTACATATCTTGTTTCACTAGTTTAATTTTCTTTCCTAAATGCTATAAATTTGAACAATTAATATTAGTTTTCATATTTTCATTGGCTAAACATTTATTTTCATGCTCAGTTATTTCACAGTGGCAGAAGGCTCTCTGAAAAGTGCTTATCTAGTAATTTGGACTTTTTAAAAAAAGAAAATCATTATTATTGGAGTATAAACATGAACAACAAAATCCTGGCATTGCACTTCTGTCTCATAATTGGCTAAATCTGATAATATTAATGCAGCTGGTCTGTTCCTACTATTTTTCTTTAATATCAAACACATGTAAGAGACATGTTTCTATTCACAAAATATTTAATTTTCATTACTAATAACAGTTTTCCTTCTATTTAAAGAGATTGTGTTATAGCGGTTTACTGAAATCTTTAAAAATTTAAAGGAAAGAAGAACGTCATTGGATTAGGTCAAGTGGCTGATCTTACACTTTAGCAAATGGACTTCTTTTTGCATCCACACTACTAGTAGCTGGCTGACAAAACATTCTCAACAAGTAGTCCTCAATGGTACTACATCAATATGGAGAGAAGTAAGCAATGGGGTACCACAGGGTTCCATCTTAGGCCCAGTACTCTTCAATATCTTCATTAATGACTTAGATGAGAAAATAGAAAGGAAACTCATCAAATTTGCAGATGACACTAAACTGGTAGGAATAGCCAACACTCCAGAAGACAAGCTCAGGATCCAAAAAGATCTTGACAAATTTGAACAATGGGCCCTATCCAACAAAAAGAGTTTTAATGTGGAGAAAAGCAAAGTTTTACATTTAGGCAGGAAAAATCAAAGGTTTAAGTACAGATTAGGTGAGACCTGGCTCAAAAACAGTAACTGTGAGAGGGACCTTGGAGTCCTAATGAACGATCACTTGACTATGAGTCAGCAGTGTGCAGCAGCCGCCAAAAAAGCTAACACACTCCTGGATAGTATAAACAGAGGCATAGAATCAAGTTCACGCAAAGTGTTAGTACCTCTTTATAAAACCCTAGTGAGACCATACCTGGAATACTCAACCAATTTTGGTCACTATATTACAAAAAAGATACTGAGACTTTGGAAAAAGTGCAGAGAAGAGCAACTAACACGATCAGGGGCCTAGAGACTAAAACATATGAAGAATGGCTGCAGGACCTGGGTTTAGCTAGTCTAAAGAAAAGAAGAAATAGGGTGACATGATAGTATTCCAGTATTTGAGGAGCTGCCACAAAGAAGAGTGGGTCAAATTATTCTTCGAAGCACCAGAGGGCAGGATGAGAAGCAATGGTTGGAAACTGATCAAAGAGAGAAGCAACTTAGAATTAAGGAGAAACTTCCTAACACTGAGGACAATTAACCAGTGGAACAGCTTGCCTTCAGAAACTGGGTGCTCCATCACTGGAGGTTTTTAAGAAGAGACTAGACAGCCACTTGTCTGAGATGGTATAGGTTCTCCTGCTTGAGAAGGGGGCGGAACTAGAAGACCTCCAAGGTCCCTTTCAGATTCTATTCTATTCTATTCTATTCTATTCTATTCTATTCTATTCTATTCTATTCTAGTATGAAGAGATTTCTTCTTATCCTCATATCCTCCAGGTAATTCTAGCAACATATCAACTGACCTTCACAACAGTCTCATTAGAACCTAAGAGAATTCTCTTATCACATTTAATTTCAGAATTTGAGATATACTAATCTTGACTAATGAGGCTATATGAAAAGTGGTTTCATATCAAAATAAATAGAAAACAGTGAGGATTGAAGATTTACTTATGTTTAACTTATCTGGTAAAAATATTATCTTTAGAATAGACTTAAGTTACAGCATATCTTGAAGTTTTTGTAGACCTTACCTAGGTTAATCAGCTTCTTTCAACTTGTAGAATTTTAAATTATTACATTTACAATTTTAACTTTACTGCTGTATCCTGATAATTATAGTTGCAATGAGAATCATTTTCTGGCTGGCTAATGCCATTCTGCAAACATCCTGCCATTCTGGTTAAGATTAAGGCCATTCTGCAAACATCAGGCAAAAAACTAAGAGTAGGATTGTTGATAATCTGCCTTCCATGTAACCCTAGCAGTAAATACCATGATGCTATTAGTATATAAGATCATCATTCAAAGATGTTTAATTTTAGCCCACCTTCCTAAATGTGGGTTTGTACAATTATACAGTACAATTATACCACCTCATTTACATATTAATAGGATTACTACACATAATAATACTTCAACTACACTGACCAGATCAAACTGCTCAACTGTGCTCTTCTAAGCATTTGGCAAAGAGATTTATTCCATCTTTCTAACCAACAAACTTACACAAGAGGACTATTGAAGTGTTCAGACCAGACACACATAACTAAATTTTGAAAGATATATTTGCATGCTGCACTGCCTTTATTAGGAATTAAATTATCAGAGTAATGTTCATTTCTTTTATTTGCAGTTCAGCATTAATGATTAATTTGCCAAATTTCATAAACTGTACAAGCAATAAAAGGCAGCCAACTATGCTTTACATCATTGTTTCACATCAATCAAATACAGATAGCCAATTACCTAATTTTTCTATAATAAATTTCTATAGGCACAAAGCAGAAGTGATGAAAAAAAATCGGGGAAAGAGGGTATGCATAAATAAAGATTTCTTACATCAAAAAGTCCAAAAAATCACAAAGTCTGTAAGAGTTTGATTAGGCAAATACTGTGGTACTGATCTTACTAGTATAAAAGTGAAAGCTAAGTTACTTAATAAAAAAAATATTTTCTTTTAATTTGGGGATGTGAACTGGAAAGGGCAAACTTTAAAAGTAGCCAGTACAAAGTGAAGGGCATTGGGAAAGATGCACAGGCACATTGGAACCACAGGGACATAAACTGACCACTGTCAAACCAGTGTAAGTTATTTGGTTTCTCATGGAAAACATTTTATCCACATTTTCCCCAGATGTTTGTTAAATCCAACAGCATATTTATTATAAGCTGCTGTTGTTCTTATAATAGGAACTGTGGGCTTTTGCTAATCATTGCTCAAAGTTTGACAGAACCTAGATGATTTCAAATACTTTCTTGAGCTCCACAATAAGTTGCCAGTCAGACTTCTGCATTTCATCTCTGAACCAGTCTTTCAGGGCATCAATGGACTGACGACTAATCTGTAGGTAGAAAAACAAAATGTTTACCATGACATCCCTACTCGTAAGATTGTTATATATAGCACAAACCTACATTTCATAAATTTCAGAAACAAAAATAACATTTTTTGAAAAGTTGCACCTTAAGCGCTGTAATGATGTTTTCAACCATTTTTAATTTTAACCTCTATAAGCAAAGAATGATTTTGTATCAAAATTTCTGTAATAGCCTCTCTTCTCCACCCCCATGCTGACACAGTCTAATCTATCCCATTTCAAAAAAAGGCCTTTTGTCCTTACATTCAAGCATGACACTCCAAATTAAAAAATGTTTACCTTGCTGACAAGTATATCAGTTGCTTCAAAATGTCGACCATACATTTTTGGAGCCTCACCAGGAATTGGTTCTATTTTTACACAGACTTCTTGACCTTTTTTTGCAACATCTACTTGTTTATGATTTATTTCAATACTTGTAATTATTCCAATATCAATGAACTGTAATAAAAAAATACTTTTATTAGCATTCAATTTGCAGAATAGTCAAAATATAACTAGATTTTTAATAATAACGTCCCCATATAAAATCTGAAGAAGAGTATGGCAGTCTTTTGTTAACTGTTAGGTGGTACTGTACCTATATGACAGAGTATACAATGAAAGTTTGGGACTGAAGTCCAATTATCTCTAAACACCTGAGAAAACCTTGGGAAAGCAGCTTTGCAGGCTATTTATTTCAAAAGATGTTCTGTCAAATTTAAGAGTTCAAGCTGCATAGAAAAATAGTTCCATAGATAAAATCAATATTCCACAGAAGTCATGATAAAGGACATTTCATCAAAGAATCCAAGTTTCTACACAGTTGATTTTTTTAAATATAAAAACACCTATTATCAAAATATATTAAAATCAACTATTTTTAAATTATTATCCAAATAACCCTTCTTTTAAAAAGATAGAATATCTTTAAAGATACAAAATACTCACATTTTTACTAGGTACACAAATTGGAGTTCCTTGTTTTACCTGACCTGCGTCCACAAGGACTCCCATTACTATGGGATCACGAGAATTAAAAATAAATTGAGGAAGTATTTTCATCTTACAAGGGAATACTGCTATATGCCTGGGGGGAAGGGGGAGAGAAAGATGGCAGAGAACTGTTAAAATGTGGTCTGAAAATAAAGCTGCATGCACAAAAATCTATTTTGATTCACAAGTACTACTTCTGAGAAATCTAGACTGAAAATAATTTAAATCCATAATGCCATATCTACTTCAGCAAATCCTAAATCACATAAAACTCCTGTAAATATTTAATAAACTGTAAATATTTAATAAAAAATAAACTGACTGTAATGCTACAATGTGCATGTAATTATTTGGCAAGCTTTCCTCAGTAATCAAAAAGCACTCTTATCCAGATTTTATAAGACATCTCCATGTGATATAGACTAGAATTCTGAAACATTTAGCAGTCTATTAACTGTAATTTGTTTGGTCATGACTTGCCTATTTTTATTAAGTAGTAAAGAAAATTATTAAATCATAAAAATGATACAATATATCACGAGAGAGAGAGAGCGCTGCTGCTTCCTGCAGGAGAGAAGGGAAGCGCAAATGTCTTTCTCTCTTTCTGCAAATGGCGGAGGAGGCTGGGAGCCGCAGGAGAAGGGTGAAAGAGCCACATGCGGCTCCAGAGTGATCCAGGTAATCCTAGCAACTCCATCACTAAGTGAAGCAGTTGCTAAGAGAGAAATCATGTGGCCACAATTGTGCTTTCCTTTTTCCCACTTCCTTGCCCTTTGGAATGTTCATGCTGAGATAATTAGCAAGAAGGGAATTAATGTTTGTATTTACTTACATTCATTGGAGAGGAAGGGATTATTACCTGTATTTATACAGGTAGTCTTTGACTAACAACCACAAATGAGCACAAAATTTCTGTTGCTAAGTAAGACAGTTGTTAATTGATTTTTGCCCTATTTTACAACCTTTCTCACCAGTTAACAACCAGTCACTGCAGTTGTTAATTTAGTTATTCCCCACTGATTTTGCT